CCCATTAATAATTTTCCTTTCTAGCTCCTGTGCTTTCCTCATTTCTAATGAATTCAGTGAATCATACATTATACTATTTTAAATTCCCAAACTCTAATCCATAAAGTCTATATGCACCAATTTCAGGAGAAATCAGGTAGGTAGAGAGAACCCTAGTTGCACAAAGAACCTCAGAAAGAGTTCAGAGGTGACCTCTCCCCAGTCCTCATTCTCAGCTTATATATTTTTCATTGCATGTAGAGTTTGTATATAAGAGCCTCCTTCACCTGCAAATGCCAAAGAAAATTGGTTAAATTTTATTTCCTGTTACTATGGGGTGTGTGTGGTGAAGAATAGAAAGTTAGACTGTGGTGAGATATGTTGTTCTTCTCTCTATACTGGGCTGGAAGCGTACATGACTTAAGGATTTGTGGGAGGCAGGAGTCTGTCATAACCACCAGTCACCTGGATAAAGATATGACCTACCTAAGTCTAGGCAGTGTGGAAAATGTAGGTCTGCCATTGAGAAGTTTTGTGCTCGAAAGTAAGAACCTTGACACCTGCTCCCTGGTATCGGCAGAGAGCTCATTCTTTCCACAACTAGGACCCCTCTAGGCAACTGGAAAATCTCAGGCTAGGCACACTCATAGATAATTCCTCCCAAAAGACACACTGACAGGGAGGAGCTTGTTGGCCTATGTAAGTGGCACAGATTTCCATGAATGAATACTCTTTTGTCCTCTGGGGTTTGAGGGTAAATAAGGGTCCCAAGGCATGACTGCTTCAGCAGAACTCTGGGGTGTGTATAATATGATGGCCTGGACCCCAGTCCTCTTCTTCTCCCTTATCCTATACTGCACAGGTCAGCATGGTCCTCTGCATCCTACCCCATGCCAGAAATGTTCTTTCTTTGTGTACTTTTTACAGAATATAGTTATTTTTGTGATTTTAACTTCCCTCTCCCAGCCTACACTGACCCCATTACTCTCTGCATCTGCTTTCCTGGGAGCCTCAGTCAAGCTCACCTGCACCCTAAGTAGTCAGCACAGCTGGTACTAATTTCCTGGTACCAGTAACATCCAGGAAAGGCCCCACTGTTTGCCATGTATATTAACAATGATGGAAAAAATGGCAAGGGGAATAGGATCCCTGATTTCTTCTCAGGCTCCAGCTCAGGGGCTGACTGCCACTTAAGCATCTCCAACATCCAGCACAAGGATGAAACCGATTATACCTGAAGTTTATCACATAGAATTGGTGTGCCATTAGGGTAAACCTCAGTGTCACAGGTCTATGGAGAAGAGAGACAAAAACTCCTCTCTATTCAACTATCGAGGTTTCCACTTGGCTCTCAGAAAGGTCCTGGTGGTCAAAGAATCTAAGTTGGTGATTAAAATTTTAAAAGAAGTGACGTAGATGTATTTTTATTCTTGCCACACATTCCATGAGAATAAGTGACTGGGCAAGCCTCCTATAGAGTGAAGAAATCTATAGCAATGTGCAAATACTGTGACAGATGTCACTCTTCTACTGATGAATTTCCTACATGGCCTGGCATGTCATTTCTTTCTCAATTTCAACTGTGGAACCCAGTACATACATTACTGTGTCACACTGATTTTGATTTATT